TATTCTACTCAGCCAATCCCCATAGACAGGAAAAAATAAAGTAGTGAATGTAGGTTGAAGTCAAAGTACCGATACTGAACTAAAAATGTACTCAAAGTAAAGCAAAAGTACACATTTTTAAAACTACTTAGTAAATTACAATTATTTATTAGGAAATTAAAAAATAATGATGATGATTATTATTATTATTAAGTAGTATATTGTTTATTAATTTATTCAAAAAGTTTACAATTTGACACATTCAAACCACTGCAGAAATGTTCTAACCAACAGCTCCATGTCATAAACAGTACAGATGCTTAATAAATTAACTACTATAAATTAAAAGCATTAACATAGGCTACCTTTTTTTGTTTTCACAAGCTTTGGAGATGGAACATAAATTCTGCTTTTTAAATAATAGGTCACCTATAGTTTTCGTCATGAGCCACGGCTATGATCAAAATGACATTAAAGTGTCATCAAACATTAAAGTGTTTTCAAAGTGCACTGTGAAGAGAGGGCAATTGTAAACATGAAGATAGCTAAAACTGAACTGTAAAAATACAAAGCAAATTACACCATACACAAGAGCAATGACTTTAATGCTTTTTTTTCTTTAAAGTTCCAATTTAAATGTTAGAATGTTCTAAACGAATAGGGAATTAGGCCCATTAACTTGAATAGAACACAGCAGGAACTATGTTTCTAACTAGCTCTTGAGGTGTAGTCGCAAGCATACAAGTTTGCGATGCAGTTTGCGAATGTTCGTTGGAACGATGGATTTGGGAAACACCAAAATCAACAAACTATTTTTGTAACGACTCAACTTGCGACTTTAGTTGGCTAACCATGGTTTTCGGAAATACACCTTTGATTGGTTAACGTGGTAGGAATGTCTGCTGAAGTTCCGATTTTCCAACTCAAGCGATTCTCGTGTTCAGCGCGCCAAACGCTCAACTCGCACCGGCACATTCGTGAGTATCGCGCCACAGGATGTCTATTCACATCTTTACATTGAATTAACATGCAAACCACTCCCGGTTGGGTTGCTTCATCCGAGCACCATAATCAAAACAATTCCAGGAAACCAAAAATTCTGGATAAAAGCAAAACCCAAACCAAAAATGTTTTGTAACATCTATTACGATTTTATTATTACGATTAGTAAATAATTAACAAACTAATTTTGCAAGATGTTCTAAAATTTTACTAAAAAAAAAACAAAAAAAAAAAGCCAATAAATTAATCACATTTTAAGAAAATAACATTTTCAGTGCTCAAACAAAAAAAAAAAAAAAAAGAAACTGTGTAAAATTCCCAACACTGTTGACTGGACATTCAAAACCACTAAACCAATCAAACTGAAGGAACTACTTTATTAAAGGCATTAACACAACACTCAAAGGCCAGCAAGTCATCTTCTGATGTAAACTTCGCCATCATTTGTTCAGGTATGTCAAAAGCCTCCAATTTCCTCATCCATCTTCTGAGACATGAATAACATTATTGAAAAGTCTGCTCTATACGCAGAAGGCCTTTGGGTCGCGCTTTACAATGAGTCAACTCTTCCAAGGCTCTTCTCATCTCTCTCTCTCTTTCTCATAAGCAGCAGAGGAGCGATTTCAATCATTTCGCAACCTCCCAGCAATCATGGCTTTAACTCCCCTGTTATTTAAAACAATCTGAGCTCTGAGCGCGAGTTAATCACTGCTTATACAACATCAGTCAGGGTTATTCATTCTGTTCCAATTAATCATGCCATTTATCTACATTGTCTGAGCCTCCTGCTCAACAAATTCATCTGTAATGACACGCAATTCACATTGTCGAGTTTTATCATGTATGTGGTGGCAAATGCAGGGCAAACGCTTGGAGATTACGCACGCGCTTGTGTGTGCACCATCTGCTTTTGGCTCTTAGTGCACCCGCCACTCGCACTTAATTAACTGGAGGCCATTACATTTCCTGAAATGTTTCACTTTTCTCTGGTTCATGTCACGCAGGCAGGCAGGCAGGCAGGAGAGGAGAGCAGGGAAGGACTCAATTAGACCGACGTCGCTCCCTGGATATTACACTCTCGGTGTGTGCCAGTTTAAGGGGGCGTGAGGCTGGTGCAGGGCCTGGACGTCTCTCGCTGTCAGCGCAGATAAAGGCCTGCCTGTCTGCGTTAGATCCCACCCACACACACACATACACACACAGCATTCAGACAAGCTCCAGCTGCCAAAACACTTCGTACCAACCAGCAGACACACATAAAGACTAACACGCATTAATACCGCCCAACAAAGTCTGCTGCTACTCGCCACATATGCACTATTTAATTAGCCTGAGAAAAAGCAAAACTCTGGCTGTCAGCTTAAGAGGAACTACAGCAGCTCTATTAATAGTGCGGCTGAAGAGAGTCGGATTCTGACCAGCATCATCGTTTCGTTTCCTGCCTGGGCGGCTTGTTGTTGCTAAAGAACATTTCAAAAGCAGAAATGGAGATTTTGCCTAATCATTTATGTGATGCGGTATGTGACTGTTGTGGGCAGGAGTGCTTCATGCATATTATACATCACAGGAACAGTAAGACATGACAACTGCATTTAATAATGGAATAAATATCTTTCCTCTATTATCAAGTGTGTGTTTATGCTGTGGAATACAATCTTTATCATGATGAAATGTAATGCTGATGTAAAGAATTTAAAAAAGTATAATGTATTATTATATATGAATAATGAAAAATAATACTGATAATATTGTGATATAATAATAATAATATATAATATATATAATAACAAAACTTCACTAGAACCTAAATTTCATTGACGAACTTTGTTGTTGGCTTGAGAAAGGACTGGGAATGGCAGTTGGCAGGAAGCACAGAGGTTGCTAAGTGGTTGCTAGGCAGCTGCAAAAATTTTTATTGCATTGCTAGGTGGTTGCTAAGCAGTTGCTCAATGGCAATGCTCGTCAAATCCTAATACTTAGGGTGCTTTCACACCTAGACTTTTGTTTCAGAACCTGTTTGCCCAGTTAGCGCGGTTCGTTTGGCATACGCGAATCCACCAATCGCGCTCGGATCCGCGCAAAAACAATCGCTCCGAGATCGCGTGAATGAGGTGGTCTCGGCTCGATTGAAACAAACTCTGGAGCGGATCGATTGTAGTGAGAAAGCAATTCGATCCGAGCCTGGTTATATCACAGTGTTTTATGGATATGTATAGGCATTTACGGCTATATGAAGAGAGAAATATGAGTAGGGCAGGAGGTCATTCAACAGACATCCCAAGTCTCCAGGAAGTTTCGGGTGTCTCCCGCAAATGCATAGAGACTCCTGGATGCCCGCAAACGAGTGATAATCTCTCGGAATTCGCGCGTCTCCCTCCCGGTCCTCATATATGTCCTGCACTCTTCTCACCCTCCCCACCGCATCCCTCCTCGCTCTTCAGACATGTCGCGCGGTCCTTGTCAAACATCACTAAACCACCACCCTCCCCTGACAGCTGAGCGGGACTCAAAAAATTAAACCGTGCAAAATTAACCGTGAAACTTTGACCAATGTGAGAAGAGTTTACTCACACATGACATGTTTTAGCTCTTTTAATCCGTTTAGAAACTTTGCCATGTGAAAGCGAACCGCACCTAAACCAAAGAGCATTAATGTAACAATTGTAATCCCTGTTTCGGAACAACTGAATCGATTCGCAGGTGTGAAAGCACCCTTAGTAAAGTAGACTAACCATATTCCATACACAACAATGTTCTGTAAAAATTTCGTTTTAACGCTAATCTCTGAATAATTACTTGCGGGTCGTAGGCAAGCTATATATCCGCGTAATCTTTATTTCTCAACCCCAAGCACAACAGAAACTTTCCTACTATATGTTTCCGAGAAAATTCAGTAGGTTTGCTACGTTCACCTAATGTGCTTGAAAATAGACAGTGGGCAAGCTTAAGGTTTGAGTGCCGTCTAGGAGGGGAGACATATAAAGCATCGACAATATGCATTAGCATTTAATTTATGCATGACACAGTATTACAGTCTTTGTGAAGTGAATATTATGTTATCACAAATTGTTATATAAATGAACTTTTGTTTAGTAAATGCTTTGAAAAGGGGATATTTAAACGTCAGTTATGGGTGATGACCGCATGGTGCAACTCTCCGCCAGAGAGAGCCTGAGAGACAGGCTGCAAATGCTGTTTAGATCAACTTTGTGCAGTGATGGTGTTTATATTCATAAAAGGTCAGTCAAGTTAGCGTTAAATTGCATGAATTTAATGTTTTAATATTTTAAAGTGTCATGCTGTGATAAAATAAACATTAATAAATATAATAAATGATAAAGAGTTATGACGCTCAGTATAATCACTAAATTAATTTCAAATAATTTATGCTTGACTGTCACTTCTGATAAATTTGATTCACTTATCCTTGCTGATAAAGAAAGATTTTATAAAATAAATAGATAATAATGACCCCAAACTTAAGAAACAAAAATGCATGTGAAAAGACATCCAGCATCTACATCCAGATATACAGATAACACCCTTTCTCTGAAATCAAATTACTCACTAAAGTTCTGGGTCATACTACCAACCCCTACACCCTGAAGATATTCCGATAAAAAACAAATAAAGCTTTAACATGTTAAGTCTGACTCTCAGCACAAGTCAAACACACTTAACCCACACTTCAAGGCTTTAACACATCTGTACCGCGCATAGAGAAAGATCGACCACAATGACTAAGAACAGACTGAGGTAAAGTCTGTAAATGGTCCAGTCTGCAGGCTCTTACTTTCACAATGAATACAGTCACAGCTGGACCACAATGCATTTAAGATGAGAAGGCTATTCAATGTACAGAATAAATGCAAAAGAAGTGAATTTGAGTTCCTTGTCTGTTCAAGGCTATGTGCAATCCTTCATCTTAAGTGTACGATTGAAAGAGTGATATGATTGATGTACTGATAAGTGGTTACATGATCAGATAAGCTTATAGAAGAATACATGCATACACTTACCGTTTCATTGCCGAAAAGGATGTCGACATAGGGCATCACCTTCATCAGGGCCTCCTTGAAAAACTCGCAGATGAACGGAGCTGACAGATTCAAGCAGAAGATCTTGTTGTTTTCAGAAGCGTGTTTGGCCACCTTTAGGATCGACTCCAAGGACACGGTCAGAAAGAAGCCCTATGGAACAAGACAAAAATGGTGGTCAAAACATGAAGATTTTGAAGACTCGAACACACAAGATGATTAATCGCTTAGTTTGGGTTTATTAAAAAGTTATTCTCACAGCTCTTCCACAGCTGATTACATTAAGAAGTGCTAATATTTTTTTTTTTGTATCACACGTTTTCCAAAATGTAATTTTCAAACGTGCAAATGACACATTGTTTCATTAAATATGTGCTAATTTGCATTTTATTCAAACACAAAAATCTTAACATTTGTTAAAGTCGGGACAAGTTCAAGTTTTTTGTGTCTTTTTTTGACATATTGGTGGCAAATGTTTTTGGGAATCTCTAATTATCAATCCATAAATACACATGCATTTAGAGAATACTGCAAATATCCAGAAAAAGAGAGGGAATTCTAGTAATATGTACAATGAAATGTTGCAGTTGTGGACGAATTACACAAATCAGACATGTAAATAAAAGCACAAGTACCCTAATAAAATTACACTACTGTAAAAGTTTAAAGCCCTTCTTTTTAATTTTATTTTTTAATTTGAGTCGAAGTACAAAAGTACTTGATTTGAAATGTAATTAAATACTAAAAGTATTTAATTATTAGGTATTTAAGGTATTTATTAGGTATTTAAGAAATATTAGCACATAAAGATACAATATAAAAATCAAAAAATCTATCTAATGATAGAATATCTATTATGTTACAGCAGAACAAAATAAATGATCATTAACTTATGTTACTTTAACATTGTTTTAAAATAAAACATAACCCATTCAGATCAGTTAGTAAATTCAATGAATCATTTACTTAAGACTCACTCTGAGTGGATCATCTGAAACATGGTATTGCTTACTGGAGACTCACTCACAACGCATCATTTGAATCAGTGAATTGCTTATTGGGGAATCATTCAGAATGGATCACTTGAATCAGTGAATTGTTTTCTAGAGAATCCCTCAGAATGGATCATCTGAATTTGTGAATTGTTTACTATAAGATTCTAAACGCATCATTTGAACCCCTAAATTGTTTATTGGAGACTCACACTGACTGAATCATTTTGAATCAGTGAATTGTTTACTGGATAATCACTCTGAACAGATCGTTTAAATTGGTGAACTGTTTATTGGTGAGTAACTCTGAACAGATCATTTGAACAAAGACTATAGAACACAGAAGACATGTCACTCGTATATTTTTGAATGGGGAAAAGTGTAACTGTCAATATGGTGAATAAAGACCTGCCTATTAGTATAGGAGCCAATCATTAATCGCTATATGGTGAATAAATCCCGCCTTCGAGTATAGGAGCCAATCATTGATGGCTATAGACTGACAATACTCCAATGGAGGGGCTTGGACCAGACGTGAGTTTCTGCAGATTTTGTGTGATCTGGATGTTTAGAAAAGAAACTGAAGACACAGTTGTTGTTTAAATTTATTAGTGATTCCTAATATGAAATCCAATCATTAGCTTGGCTAGCAGTTATGAAAATGTTTATTGATGTTTCCCCATTCAAACAGAATGCCCGAGTATTATGCCCAAGAGGTGCTTCAAAGATGGCCGCCGAGTAAAATGTCCTGCCTTAAAGGGACTTTGATTTGAATAAATGAATTGTTTACTGGAGAAGCACTGCAAGTTTCTGTTTAAAGCAGCAAGTTAGCATGACTACAGTTTTATTTACTGTTATATCATGGTGGAGGAGGTGCTCATTGTGGATGTGAGTTTTATGATGTATCTTCAAGTGCTTATTATGACATAATGTTTTCCTTATTCTAATTGGTTCTGTTATTGTTGTTGTTACATCACATTCATCATATCCTGTCAAGTGTCCCTGTGTTTTTTTAAAACCCACTCCTGAGCGCTGTCTTATGTTTTAGAAGCAAAGAATTGTTCTGTGTGAATAAGTCATAAGAGCTTTTTTAAACTAAAGAAAAGACACTAAAAATCCAAAAATCTTGACAAGACTACAAAACTGAAGAAATCAAATGGATAGTTGAAGCTTCTATCAATAAATCTCAGCATTACAAGTGAACAAAGAGAACACAAAAAATAGATGTCCCTCCTCTGAGTGGAGTAAACATGGCTAAGCTTGAAATAATGGAGAGTATGATGAGGCACAAATAGGATTAAGGGGTTTAGGAGATGAGAATGAATGATGACAAATGGAGTCCATAATTGCGCTGGCTCCTCCATCAGAGAGCACAGAGAGTTCACAGAGACAATCCAATACAACAGAGGGCACCTTGAGCACCTCCTCATACTGGACTGTCTGCAAGGTCACACGGCTCTATGAGGAGCACTTATAGTATACATCGCATCTATGCCAATGCTCATCACTGTCTCTGTGTCTCTGAGCAAATGTAGAAAATGTGCTTACAGTTTAGTTTTTCAGAACATAAGTACTTTTTAGCTAATCACAAAAGTTGAAAACAAAAAGGTAAATTAAAAAAACAATCTAAAATATATGTGGGATAATGACACCTAAATAACACACAAAAGAAATGAAAGAAAAAAAAACCTAAAACCCAGTTTTTTAATAATAATTGTAAAAATAAAATAATCATCAATCAATAAAATAAATGATATGGTACATTACATAAAATAAATGAAAAAAAAATAATATTGTACATTACATAATATGAATAATTAAACAAGCAGATATTAATAAATCTAGTATATATTATTATATATTAATAAATAAGATATATTATATTAATAAATAAGATATATATATATATATATATATATATATATTAACATATATTAATAAATACTGCTATTACTTCTACTAATAATAAATTGTGTGGCAGTAACTTATAGGGATACTTCAACTGAAAACAATAACTAAATTAAATTACCCAAATTCAATAAAAGATTAATTAAATAAATGAAGAGAGGTCAAAATATGTATATTTTTTAATTTTGAAAAGCAAAAGAAAAAATGTATATAAAAACTAAATGTAAAAAAAAATGTATTTAAAAAACAAAATGCAAAATAACAAATACAATAATAAAATATAATAATTTTACATAAAGCATTTGATACTTAAAAATAGCAGCAAAAGGGCCAAACTTACATTATGAATTAAATTAAAATTAATTATAACTAAAATAATTATTATATACAAATAAATGCAAAATATTTTCGAAATAAACAAACTGTCACTACTTTGAACTTTATACATATCAGATGTTAAATAATATATCAAATAATAATAATAAAATTATAGAATTTAAACTAAATCATGAAATATTTATTTTTAATTCTATAATTTTATTATTATATTATATTATTCATTATTATTTCATTTATTATTTAACATCTGATATCTATAAAGTTCAAAGTAGTGACAGTTTGTTTATTAAATAAAGCAAAAGGGCCAAACATATTTTAAACAAAAACAACAAAGAATAATTTAAAATGCTAAATAATTTATTAATAAAAAACTAAGGTGTCACTACCTTGAACTTTATTTATATCAGATGTTAAATAATAAATAAAATAATAACAATAATACAATATAATTGTCAATAAATCAATAAATAATTAAAGCAACCAAAGGGCCAAACATATTATATAAAAAAAAGGAACAAAATAATACTATAAAAAATGTATAAATAAAAAACTGTCACTAACTTGAACTTTGTACATATCAGCTGTTAAATAATAAAAAAATAATATTAAAAATCAAAAAATTATATAATATTAAATAAATAAATAATTAAACAACAAAAGGGGCAAACATATTATAAATAAAAATAACAAAGAACAAAATAAAATGCGAAAATTTCTAAAAAACAAAACAAACTGTCACTACCTTGAAATTTATGCATTTCAAATGCTAAATAATAAATAAAATAATAATATTAATAATAATAACAACAATAATAATAACAATAACAATAACAATAATAATAATAATAAAATTAAATCATTTTAAATAAATCATTAAATAATTAGTAAAACAACAAAAGGGCCAAAGGGCCAACATATTATAAATAAAAATAACACAGAATAAAATTAAATGCTAAATAATTGATGAATTTAAAAAAAAAAAACTGTCAATCACTTAATTCTTTATACATATTAGATGTTAAAATAAAACAATTTTAAAAAAGAAACTAAATTAAACCAAAAATATATGCAACAAACACAAACTTTGTTTTTTGCAACATAAACTTTACAAACAAAAACGGTAATTAAATAAAATGCTAAATCTAAAAGCAGAAATGCGTTTTAAAAAGTACTCTGTAGTTTCCCAAGAGTATTATGCTCCCAGAGAAGCTATCTGAAGACTTGGTGTGATTTTCCTGAGAGAGAGCACTGAAGCCCAGTGCAATGGCTGGTCTCCAACATTTGTTCCAAGAGGACAGCAAAAAAAAAAAAAAAACCATGCTTGCATCTGATGAAGTGGAAAACAAAGGTCTTGTCTGGACTCTTCTTACAGAGAAACAAGAGAGGCTCCTCAGTTCATTGTGTGAATGAATACAGAGCTGGTAAGGAAACACCTTCACGTTTAAACCTGAAACCTGATGCCGGGCCTGTTTCTTCCATACAGAGAGAATAATTCAGAGATACAGTGCAGGTGAGATTAAGGGGAAAGAGAACAGGGAGAGAGGGAGAAAAAGCAGAAAACAGAGAGATAGAGAGACTGCAGAGCTCTCCATTAAAACTGATGAGGCTTTAGCGGTGAGAAGTGACCTTTGTGTGTTTTGTGGGACGGTGTTGGTTATTAAACCATTCACGCACAGTCAATCTGAGCCCCGTTTACATTAATGCGTTTTAGTTTGAAAACGCATAAGTTTTGCTACGGTTACGCCAACCGTCCACACTACGCCGGAGTTCTCGAGCGCCGAAAACGGAGCGTTTCGAAAACGCTGGAGAGGCCGTTTTCATTCTGAAACGCTGCTGCTCCGTCTCAGTGTGGATGATGGAAAACGGAGACATCTGAAAACGGAGGCGGGGCTGCTGACATTCGCCTCTCTGATT